CTCTTACTGCTACTGCTACTGCTACTACTATTGCTACAGCTACTGCTACTGCTACTGCTATAGCTATTGCTACTGCTACTGCTACTTCTACTACTTCTATTGCTACTGCTACTGCTACTACTGCTGCTGCTACTGCTACTACTCTTACTGCTACTACTGATGATGATGTTGCTGCTACTTTTACTGCTACTGCTACTCCTACTACTGCTACTACTACTACTACTGCTGATGCTGCTGCTACTGCTACTACTGCAACTATTAATGCTACTACTAGTGCTACTGTTACTGCTACTCCTACTGCTACTGCTACTGCTACTGCTATTATTGCTGCTACTCCTGCTGCTGCTACTACTCCTGCTGCTGCTACTGCTGTCGCTGTTGCTGTTTCTGCTGCTGCTACTGCTACTACTACTGCTACTACTACTACTGATACTACTACTGCTACTACTGCTACTATTGCTACTGTTGCTACTGCTACTTCTACTTCTACTTCTACTCCTACTGCTACTGCTACTGCTACTATCACTACTACTGTTGTTGTTGCTGCTACTACTGTTGTTGCTACTACTACTACTGCTACTGCTACTGCTGCTGCTGCTGCTACTACTACTACTGCTGCTGCTACTACTGCTGCTGCTACTTCTACTACTATTGTTGCTACTGCTACTGTTGTTACTGCTACTGCTACTACTAATGCTACTCCTGCTACTCCTGTTGCTACTACTGTTATTGCTGCTCTGCTACTACTACTGCCGTGCTACTACTACTGCTACTACTACTGCTGCTGTTGCTGCTGCTGCTGCTACTGCTGCTACTACTCCTGTTGTTGCTGCTCCTGTTGTTGTTGCTGCTGCTGCTACTCCTACTGCTGCTGTTGCTGCTCCTGTTGTTGTTGTTGTTGCTGCCGCAGAAGAAAGTGTGGACCGCAGAATTCAATCTACAGTCGCAACCCAAGCTAATGAACCCAACAGGATTTTGATAAATATGCGGAACGCACATGAATTGTGCGGCCGCAAAACAGTGTCCGAACTAACAAATAATTCTAAGTTTAGAGAGTGTGCAAAAGACCAAGTCCAGACGTCTTGCTGAAGTGCGCACCGACAAGAATTGTGCAGCCGTAGAAAACTCTTTGTAACCGCAATCTTGAAATGTGCGGTTGCAGAATCCCATCTCCTTCCAACTGAAGAAATTTGTGGATCGTACACAGAATGTGGAGCCGTAGAACCTCCTGAGGGGCATTTTTGTCAGCGAATTTTGACCCACTATAAATAGACGAGTTTCGCAAATTTGGGTCAAGTTTTTAAGTAAAAAGTTGTTGTAGTCGTTACCTTTATTACTTTAGGAAATTTGTAACCATTTTAGTGTTTAAACATCATCTTTTACCATTTTAATTATGAGTTTAATTAACTTTTCTTCTTTATTTTCTTCAATTCCCATTATGAGAAGCTAGATTCTTACTAGGGTTGTGACTTAACCCTAGTGTATAAACCTTATGGGTATTTAATTTAATGCTTGTCTATGATTGGGTGTTGATTATTTAGCTTAGTTTATTTTTCAATTTTAGAATTAATGGTTGCAAACAATGATTCATGCCTTTTTTACTTAGTCTCTACTTGAGAAAGAGGGACCTAGTCTAGGATAATTTGGCTAACAAGGAATTGGGCTAATTGAGAGTTTGATTAGCCTAATTAAAGGGTTCAAACTAGAGATAGTGAGAACCCAACTTGAGCTCATATCAACTATTTTGTTTGATACCCATTTGGACTTGAGAAAGCCAAATTGCGCCAAATCACTCTTTGACCGAGAGGTATTGAGTGGGTAATATAGAGTTAAGAGCTATAATACACCCCAATCAACAAAACAAGTATTAATGTCTTTAACATATTAGGCGAATACCTAGGTTATGGTCATATCCCTAGGATTTTAAACTATTTGAAAAAATATCAAAAACAATCGTTAGTTTCTAGTTTCTTTTCCTTAGCTTGCAATCATTAGAGTAATACTAGACGTAGAAATCAAAACATTGTTGTGGAAGTGCAAATTTAGCTAGTCCATTCACTCTCATCAAGTGTATACTCCTAACACCCCTTATAACTCCCTGTAGATTCGACTCCGACTCATAGTTAGGTAATTTATATTGCATATGACCGTATCATATCTTTTATCGATGTGTGTTCTTGTGGACGTCATCAATTTTTGGCGCTGTTGTCGAGGAGTTAAAATGGTGTTAGCTATATATTTGGGTTTGTTTTTGGAATATCTTATTTTCCTTCCGTGTTACTAACTTTTGTGACTCAATTTTAGGTACATCCATGGCGGCAAACAATGATCTCAGAAATATGCCTTTGGGGGATGTGGACGTCAAGGATGAGCAAGTTGAGGAGGTACCTTTTGAACCTCAAGCCATTAGAAGAGGCCAGGTGCCTCATGACAATGTACCCGGCTCCACCCCTACCTCCACCATGAGCGGCTCCACGCCGCGTGTTACCCAATAAAGGATATGCTGGTGCAATAGTCCCTTCCCGTATTAGGGTGGGCGACTTCCAGATCACTAATTTGATGCTCACTCTGCTTGAGCAACGGGGTTTCTTCACCGGTGCTCCAACTCAAAATTCATATAAAGATTTGAAGGGGTTTGTGGATACTTGTTAGGGGAGCAACAAATAAATGTCTCTAAGGATGCATTGAGTCTAAGGCCTTTTCCCTTCTCTCTACGGGGGAAAGCTTTAGATTGGTTAGAACAATTACCGAACAATTCCATTCACAATTGGGATGAGTTGGCAGAATATTTATTGCTAAGTTCTTCTCTCCTGGGCACATGGCTACACTTTGAGATGAGGTTTTGGCATTCAAGCAAGAGTCGAATGAACCACTACACGAGATATGGGAGCGCTATAGAACAATGTTTAAGGAATGTCCCAACAACAATATGACAGAAAACATGATCCAACAAACCTTCTATCATGGGATTAACACAACCAACCAATGTGTAGTAAATCAACTTGCCGGTGTGAACTTCATGACTACGCCTTATGCAGAGGCGTGTGAGATTTTGGATGAAATGATGGAAACGTCATCGTCTTGGCAACCTCGGGCCAATGTTTCACAAGGTGATCCGAATATGATCCACCTTCACAAAGAATTGCATGAGCATGAGCAAGCCATTGCCGAGTTAACTACTACTATGAATCAACTAGCAAAGGCTCAACTTAATCAAGTGCAAAATCCTAAGCAAGTCAATGCTATGGAATGAGTGAGCATGATGGTGAACAAGAGGAAGGCCAAAGGTCCACAAGTGCAAAATCGAGTGGAGAACTATGTGCAAGAAGATAGTGGTTTTGAGTAAGATGATTCCCATAACGAACAAGAAGAGGAAGTGCAATATGTGAACAATTTTCAAGGGAAAAGAAACAACTTCCAAGGCCCAAACCAACAACAATGGCGACCTCAAAACAATCAAGGCAATCGAAATTCTAACAATCAAGGAAATTGGAGTGGTGGCAACAATCAAGAGAATTGGAATAACAACAACAATCAAGAAAATTGGAGTGGAAATAACCAAGGAAATTAGGGGGGTAACAATCAAGGCGGATGGAACAACAATCAATGCAACTGGGGGTCGGGTTTTCAAAGGCTCCTGATGTATCAACAACCGAGCAACCTGCCTCCCAATCCTTCCTATGGTCCAAGTTCTTCAAACAATGAGATGGGACGTATGGAAAATATGTTTAAGCATATGATGGAAAAGAATGCCTATTCAGATGCCCAACTTGCCTCACACAACACATCAATCCACAACCTAGAAGTTCAAATAGGGCAAATCTCTCAAGCACTAAATTCTCGTCCTAAGGGGGCACTACCAAGTGATAAGGTAGTAAACCCAAAGGGTGGAAACAACACGGGGCGTGCCATGGTCGTGACCACAAGAAGTGGAAGAGGTGGGAATGCACCCACATCAAGTCAAAGGCAACTTGTTGAAGATTATCAAGTGGTGAAAGAAGAGGAGGTCCCGAACAATATAGTGCAACCTAATGAGGAAGTTCGAATTGATACTGATGATAGTGTGGAAGATACTCAAGAGGAGGTGAACCAGTCTAGGGGTCATATTATTGACATACCGAAGCCGATAGTGCAAAAGTCTAAAACCATTACCTAAGCCTCCACCTCCATACCCTCAAATACTTGCCAAGCAAAATGGTGAGAAGTTCATTCAAATGATGAACAGTCTATCAATCAATGTGCCATTAGCTGAAGCCTTGGAACAAATGCCCGGTTATGCAAAGTTTATGAAGGATCTCGTGACTAAGAAGCGGTCAATGAATTTTGAAACCATCAAATTCACTCATCAAGTGACTGCAATTGTGCATTCAATGGCTCCTAAGTAGGAGGATCCCGGTGCTTTCACGATTCCTTGTACAATTGGAAGTGCCGAGTTTGTTAAAGCTCTTTCTGATCTTGGGGAAAGTATCAATTTACTACCCTATTTGGTTTTCAAGACTTTGGGAATTAGGCAACAAAGACCCGCCTCTATGAGATAGCAAATGGACGATTGTACTATGAAGAGGCCCTTGGGTGTGATTGGAGATGTTTTGGTTTGATAAATTCATTTTTCCGGCGGATTTTATCATTCTAGATTGTGAAGTTGATTATGAGGTGCCGATTATTCTTGGGAGACCTTTCCTTACTACGGGAAAGGCTCTTTGTGTTGTTGAAGCCGGAGAACTTACATTCTAGGTTGGTGATGAAAAAGTGGTATTTCATGTGTGTAAGTCCATGCGGCAACCAAATTGCAATGAAGTGTGTTCTTTTGTGAACTTGGTGACCGATGCTATTGTTGATGAAGCAAGTGCTACAATCACTCTTGGTGACTGTCTTGCTCAACTTTGATGATAACGAGATGGATGGCTTCATGGAGTGTGTCAATTCATTGCAAGAATGGGGCCGTACAACTATGTACCCCGAAAATTATCCTTGGATCTTGATAATAGGACTCCTCCTACAAAGCCTTCTATTAAAGAGCCTCCTACCTTGGAGTTGAAGCCATTGCCTCCACATCTTCGGCATGAATTTCTTGGTCCTTGTTCTACTTTATCGATTATTCTTTCCTCTTGTTTAACTAACGTGCAGGTAGACTCCACATTGACGGTGCTACAAAAAAGAAAGAAGGCCATTGGATGGACCTTGACGGATATTCGGGAGATAAGCCCCACCTTTTGCATGCATAATATAAAATTGGAGGATGGCACCAAACCATCTATTGAACATCAAAAAAGACTCAATAAGGCTATGCAATAAGTTGTCAAAAAGGCGATTATCAAGCGGTTAGATGTCGGGGTTGTCTACCCTATCTCTGATGGTTCGTGGACTTCTCCGGTTCAAATTGTCCCAAAGAAAGGGGGCATGACGGTGATCGCCAATGACAAGAAGTTGATTCCTACAAGAACGGTGACCGATTGGAGGGTGTGTATGGACTATCGCAAGCTCAACAAAGTCATAAGGAAGGATCACTTTCCACTTCCTTTCTTAGATCAAATGCTCGATAGATTGGCCGGCCTTACTTTTATTGCTTTCATGATGCATATTCAGGCTACAACCAAATTCTTATTGCTCCGGAAGATCAAGAGAAAACAACCTTTGCATGTCTCTATGGTACTTTTGCTTTCAAGCGGATGCCATTTGGTTTATGTAATGCACCGGCGACTTTTCAAAGGTGCATGATGGCTATTTTCAGGGACGTGGTGGAGGATTACCTTGAAGTTTTCATGGATGACTTCTCGGTGGTTGGAGATTCTTTTGATGATTGTCTTGCAAATTTGGACAAAGTGTTGGCTAGATGTGAAGAAAGAAATTTGGTGCTCAATTGGGAGAAATGTCATTTCATGGTCGAGGAAGGCATTGTCCTTGGCCATAAAATCTCAAAGAATGGAATTGAAGTTGACAAGGCAAAGATTGAGGTGATTTCTAAACTTCTACCTCCAACTTTGGTGAAGGGTGTGCTGAGTTTCTTAGGCCACGCGGGTTTTTACCGGCGCTTCATCAAAGATTTCTCTAAGGTGGTGAACCCGTTGTGCAAGCTTCTTGAGAAGGATGCTAAGTTTAACTTCAATGAAGATTGCATGAGAGCTTTTAAATTGTTAAAGTTCAAATTGACAACTACTACTATCATCACCGCTCCAATTTGGAGTGTACCTTTTGAACTCATGTGTGATGTAAGTGACGTAGCGATTGGGGATGTTTTGGGGCAACGTATCAACAAGAGTTTTTATCCGGTCTAATATGCTAGTAAGACCCTGAATAGTGCCCAAGTCAACTATACCGTTACGGAGAAAGAGCTCTTACCATTGTGTTTGCAATTGAGAAGTTCTGCCCGTAATTGATGGGTGCAAAGTCATTGTCCACACGGATCATGCAGTGCTTCGTTATCTTATGAGAAAAAAGGACTCCAAAGCTCGGTTAATGAGAAATTTGATATTGATATCAAAGATAGAAACGGTAGTGAAAACCAAGTGGTGGACCACTTGTCTCGTTTGGAGGAGGGGAGGTCGCATGATGGCCTTGAAATCAATGACTCCTTCCCCGATGAGCAACTCTTAGCAAGTTCAATGAAAGAGGTGCCATGGTTCGCAGATTTAGCAAATTTCCTTGCGTGTGGAATCATCCTGGATGAGTTCTCTTCAAACCAAAGGAAGAAGGTCAAACGGGATTGTCAAGATTATTATTGGGATGAACCATACCTCTTCCAATTTTGTATGGATGGGGTGATTAGAAGATGTGTACCGGAATAAGAGCAAGGCAAAATTCTTAGGGTTTGTCATTCTTTTCTATATGGTGGTCATCATGGTGAAGCGAGAACGGTAACCAAAGTGCTTAGTTGTGGTTTCTATTGGCACACTCTTTACAAGGATGCAAGGGAGTTAGTGAAAAGGTGTGATGAATGTTAACGGGCCCGTAGAATCTCAAAGAATAGTAAAATGCCTCTCACTACCATTTTGGAGATTGATATTTTTGATGTGTGGGGTATTGACTTCATGGGCCCTTTTGTGAGTTCTTGTGGAAATACCTACATCTTGGTCGCGGTGGATTATGTGTCCAAATGGGTTGAGGGCGTTGCTTTACCCAACAATGAGGCGAGAAGTGTGGTAGCGTTCTTGAAGAAGAATATTTTTACAAGGTTTGGTACTTACGTGCAATTATATGCGGGGGGTCCACAAGTTTGCAACAAGTCTTTCGACACTTTACTTGGAAAGTATGGTGTGAGTCACGAAGTCACGACTCCCTATCACCCATAAGCTAGTAGGCAAGTAGAAGTCTCTAACCAGAAGATAAAGAGTATTTTGTCCAAAACGGTGAATACTAATCGGACAGATTGGTCCAAGAAGCTTGATGATGCATTATGGGCTTATCGGACGGTTTACAAAACACCTATCCGAATGTCACCATACCAGTTGGTGTTTGGAAAAGCTTGTCATCTTCTGGTGAAACTAGAGCACAAGGCCATGTGGGCTCTAAAGAAGTTGAATCTTGATTGGGAAGTAGCCGCTAATTGGAGGGTTGCAAACTTGAATGAATTGGATGAGTTTCAGTACCATGCTTATGCAAGTTCGTCCTTGTACAAAGAAAAAGATGAAATATCTTCATGACAAATACATTTGGAACAAAGAGTTCAAGGTGGGCGATCTTGTATTGTTGTTTAACTCGCGGTTGAGGATGTTTCTTGGGAAGCTAAAATCTAAACGGAGTGGTCCTTTTGAAATTGTGGGTATGACACCTTTTGGTGCATTAGACTTGAAGAACAAAAACAATGAAGTATTCTGAGTCAATGGTCACCGGGTGAAGCACTACTTGGGAAAGGTCGGAGACAGCCACGGGGTGGCGGTCATTCATTTCGCTTGAGGGTATTTTGAATTATGCCGCGACGTTAAATCAGGGGATTCTTGGGAGGCAACCCATGTTTCTTTTCCTTTTTATTTTGTAGTTAGGTGTTATTTTTGTTCTAACTTGAATTGAAGTGTGCTACAGGGCTGAGTGTGACTTGCAGGAATTGTGAATAAAAATATGGCTAAGTGTTCTAAGGAATGCGGACCGCAGTTGATTTGTGAGGACCACACACTTGTAGGTGCTATAGCAAAAGAACAATGTGGCAGCACATTTAGCTTGCGGGCCGCACAATCAAGATGTTGAAAATACCAACTCTTTGAAGTTCCTGTCAGTGCGGAGGTCGATTTGCGGTCGCACATGAAAATGTGCGAACAGTAGATGAAAAGCTGAGATGAGGTCCCAAGGTAATAGAGTGCAGACCGCACATGAAAATGTGCGGCCGCACTCGTCCTTCTTCCCTCTTCGCGAACCAGTAGTATAAATTGAGGAACGGGGAAAAATTTACACGTTTCACTCTCTAAACCAAAAATTGTGCTCCAATTGAATTTTCTTGGAGATTTCATCTGTCCACAAGCACAACCAGTTTGATCATTCACTCATTACACCCACTCTATCTGGTATGATTCAATTTCACGTTAATCTTTTTAGTTAGTTTAATTTGTAGATTTTTAGTTCTTTTTAGGCCATTTGTTATTCGAGATCAATGGTGTGTCCATGTGAGGTAAATATGAACTAGGTTAACTTGATACATGATCTATGGGGACTGGGTTAGTGAAATTACATGTTTTTATAATGTTGCCATGTCTAATTGTGCGAGAATTTGAAAAACCTAAGTAGGAAATGTTGAGATGTACGTACTTACTGAAATCTGCGCCCGCATTTTAAAATGTGCGGTTCGCAGATGTTGATTTTAGGGAAACTAAGTGAAGAAGAAATATGCGACTGTAAGTTAAAATATGCAAACCGCAAAATTCCCATTGCGGCCGCAGAACAGCACATTTATTGTCATTAGAGAGTCCTTACTTGGAGACTCTAATGTGCGGGCGTAAGCTTAATTATGCTGACCGCAGAAACCTCTTGGGGCCGCAATTTGGTCATTTCTCTGTCATCAGAGAGTTGGCATTTTTGGGATTCAGAGGTGCGGCTGCAAGTCAAATTTTGCGGACCGCACTTCACTTCTGCGACCGTACAACAAAAATGTGCGGTCCGTAAGTCCCCATCTGCGGCCTCAAGTGAAATTATGCGTACTGCATATCACTTCCCTACAAGCATGATCAAAATATACAACATCACTGTGTCCTCTGGTTTATCTTTTACTTGCATGTCTCATGTGTATGTTTGAACATTGAATTGCAATTAGCAATCGCCTTTGCTTGATACAGACAATGGTTTGATCTAAAGGATGAGGCGACACTTCAAAAGGGAGAGGTGAACCTTCTCGAGCTTGAGGAAAAAATGCCTTAACCCTTGGCCAGCCAAAGACAATAAGGAAGAAAGCAACAGCCGACAGAGGGAGAGGTGTAGACCTTTCCGAGACTAGCTCATATGTCCCGTCTAGGGAAGTATCAGAGGGCATTTCAGCCTCAAGCAGCCGGCCATACAGTCGAGGTCGCAGGGGAGACACCAATTCAGGGACGAGCCGTCCTCATCTCATAGCACTTCCAAGGGATCGGAGAGTGCTAGTCAGGCTTCTGAGTCATCGGCCACACCAGTTCCTGAGGCACAGGTTCCTACACCAGTTCATGACATAACTGATGATGGTAGAGGGGGAGATGCCACTACCACAAGGTTGGAGAGATCAAAGAAGAAGGAGGTTTTGTGCTCCTTCTTGCTTACGTTTTGATTACAAATTCTTACAAAATAGTCCCAAAAGGCTCATAAGTTGTGCTTGATTGCAGGTTTGATCAACAAAGTGACGAGATGTCAAAGATCGTCTCAAAAGGAGTGAAACCTGCACAAGTACCAAAGACAAGACAAAACTCAGGAGAAACAGACCTAGTGCGGCCGCAGTACACTTTGCGCGGTCCGCACTAGGGAGATTCAGAGAGATGCCAAGTGCTAAGGATCAAGCTTGTGCGGTCCGCGGTCGGGTTTGTGCGGACCGCGCTAGTTGCCACCGCGGCCGCAGTCCATTCTGTGCGGTCCGCGGAGCCTGAGTTCAGAGAGCCAAGATTTCAAGTCCAAGAGCCTAGTGCGGCTGCAGTCCATTTTGTGCGGCCCGCACTGACCCCGCATGGGTATTTTTGTCCAGTTTTTCCAGCTTAGTATAAATAGAACCTTTTTCCATTTTTAGAGTATCAGATATTTTAGCACTGTAGTTGCGCTCGTGAGAAGACCTTTCTTAGCTATTTTTGGCATCTTTACGTAGTTTTAATCATTGAAACTTTGTATTTACTTTAGTAATTAATTAATATGTCTTTCTCTTCATCTATTTCTCTGATTTTCTCTTCAAGCATGAGGAGCTAGACCCATTAGATAGGGTTGTGGCTCAACCCTAGTGTGGGTAATTGATGGGTGTTGTAATTTAAGGTTAGATTGATTATGGGTGTTTGTTATTTGGGTCAATTTTATGGTTTAATTTATAAATTAGTGGTTGCAAACACTAGTTTGTGCTTAGTAGACTTGGGCTCTTCTTGAGAAAGAGAGCCTAAGTCTCCAAAATTGACTCAACAAGGAATTGGGATGGACTCAAGAGATTTGATAGTCCCAATTAAAGGGTTAAACCTCGAGAGAGTAATTACCCAACTTGAACCCTAGTTGCTCGGGCAAATATGCATACCCAATTGGTCTCGAGAGAGTCAATTGGGAAAAACCACTCTTTCTACCGAGAGGTGTAGAGTGGGTAGTATTGAGCAACGGTTATAACATATTTCCCCAATCATGTCAATCAAGCCTTAGATGCAATTAACCGTCAATTAGCCACTAGGTTAAAGTCACTACCCTAGTGCTTTTTAAACCATTAGATACAACCTGTAGCAATTTACTCTTAGCTTAATCTAGTTGCAATTATATTGTAGTTTGATCATAGTAGAATATAAAGAAAATCCCAAAAATTATGAGAAGATCAATTAAGAACACCCACGCAATCCTAAGCTAAATAGATACTCGACTCCCTTCCTAGCTCCCTGTGGATTCGATCCCGACCCAAAATCGGGTAAAAGCTATTGCGACCCTCTCTCGCTACTTTTTAGTGGTGCGGAGTTGGCAGCGATCAACCACCAAGACCACCACCACCATGGATTGCTGCTAGGCTTCCCATCCACCAGAGCACTCTGAGTTTTGAGATGAAGGGGTCGCAAACCATTATTTGTAGCAGACTGGACCCGAGCCAGAATGTAACTCACCTTCTGATTCCTCGGGCAGTTCTGGTGGCTTCCATCATGGCCGGGTACCCAATCAATGTGGGTGTCGTGATGTCGGCCAACATCTGTTTGATAGAACGATAGATAGCTCGTCCTACCCTATCCCAACACTAGTATAGAATATCTTACGGATGCCAGGGTAGAGCCGAGGGATTTTGACACAAAGGTGAAGCCAAAAAAGCCTTTTGATTCGTGTTCTCTTATGGATGCGAGAAACCCGAAGAAGAAAGTTCAGCCTCCTACCACCACAAGACGGTCTAATGAGCCAGAAGTGGTAGTTTCTGAGACAGTTGATGTTCCATCCACTTCAGCCCAGCCTTCCTCCAGTGCCACAGCTATGCCTCTGCCATCATCCACAGCCCCTCCTACAGCTCATGCCATAGCTCCTGCCACAGCCTCAGCTCTTAGGCCAGTGTCCATTCCAACTTCCCCACTATCTACGCTGCGAGTCTCCCAGACATTGGCGAGTCTGAACAACTAGATGCGGACAGCTACTGCAAAACTGTCTGACTTGTCCAGTATTGTTGCAGCGCAGTCCATTTCTCAGGCACCTCAGTTTCCCCCGACCATTAATAAGACATTTAAGAAGCTCCTAGAGAACCAGAAGATGATCATGGCTACCTTGGTACAACACGGGTCAGTGATTGAAGAGCTAGGTAAGGAAGTAAAAAAGATGAGGAAGTCCCAGGCCAGCAAGAAGTCAATGGATAAGCTCCGGAGAGAGGTGAACAGAATTGCTACAGCCGAAAATCTTCCATTTGACATGCTACTTGACCCGCACCAGTCTGCCCCAGATCCTACAGCCCCATCTGCACCGGTAGCACTAGCTGGCCAGTCTGAGGAGCCAGACCTTGCTGGCGACACTGCTGAGGCAGTACATGAGATGTTCGCCAACCCAGCCACACCTAGAGTAGAGGATGATAAGATCCAGTTGGCTGATCTGGAGGGCAATGACATTGCTGGGACACAGAGATGTCCAAGGAGCCATAGGAAGTTTTCTTCATCCTTTCCTCTTTTACTATTATATTACTAAGCACTAGGGAAAATACTTACTTTTACTCATGGAGGGTGGAGTTTATTTGACACATTTGGTACATTCTGATACAATTCTCCTGTAATAATTTGATGATATTCTTTGTCTTCTTATATGTATGTATATACCTTCTCTATCTATCTCTCTCTCTCTCTCTCTCTCTCTCTCTCTCTCTCTCTCTCTCTCTCTCTCTCTCTCTCTCTCGTTATGTATATTTATTCTACCTTTAGTTGTTTTTGCTCATTAGTTTCTTTATTGTAGTTTTTCACTTATTAGCTTCTTTATCTTTTCCTCTTTTTAGTTCTTGTTTTGTCACGTAGATTCTTTTTATGTTCTAGTAGATAATAAGCATTTGATTTTCTTAACGTCACGGTTCTTTCTAAAGGTAGTTGTTGTGTGAGCCGGGCGACTCATCCCAACGATGGATGGCGTGACAACCTTCTTAAGGAAATGAGTCAATTTTTGTGTTTAGGTAATAATAGTAGTAGTAATGAATAAAAAGACCTAATTAAGTCATGCTCGAAGAGCGAACCATGCTTCAATTGGCACCAACACACTTAACTACGTGCTTATGGTTAGAGATAAGATTTTTAAAAGAAATAGCTCTAGTTAGTGACTTTGTGACTCTTGAGTTGACTATGGCGATCATTGAGTGGTTTAATTGGACCATAGTTATCTTTAAACTTGAATGTGGTCATTGTAGGTTCTCGACTCTATCCTCTTTTACAATCTAGTTGCGTGAGGGTGAGATAAAATGTTGTTAGTCCAAGTATCCGTGCGAAGGGTCTAGAACTTGCCCCGAATATGTTTCAAGGCGAAATCCTAAGTTTTGCTTGGTTTTAGAAGTGATTGTAGGCTCTCCTTGGCCCGTTTGAGTTTTATTGCCAACCAATGTCGTTATCCCTAGTCAGCCCCTTTGAGCCTCTAGCCTTTCTCATTTGATAACTATATTATAAGCCTTTACCCATTTTGTCGTGACCCTCTCTTGGTACCCGAACTTTCCTTAACACTCTTGTCAAAATAAATGGCTTAAAACATAAGTTTGGGGGAGAGATGAGGAATTTGAAAAAGGTATCAAGGCACAAAAGAGAAAAGAAATGATCTCTATGAAAGAGAAGTCAAGAAAAGAAAAAGGACAAAAAGAAAAATGCAAAAGGTGAATAAGTGGAAGGGTTGATGGATTCCAAAAGAGGCAATGATCCCATACAGTGATAAATCAAAAAGGGAGAAAAAGAATGAAATAATCAAGAAAGAGTGATGTTAAGTCTCTCTAGTCCCCAATGAAAAGAAAGTGCCTCTAAGAATTGGGAATTGTGGGCCGAGAAATGAAAGATGGAGTGCTTAAGGAAAGGTGTAACCACTTACCCATATGATGTCCTACCCAACTCAAAAGCCATCATTACATCCCGAAAGAAGTCCTACTTGATTTCAAACCTAGTGAGCTTACATTAGTGGCGATCTACATGAGGGGCAAGCCTATGGTACTTGAAACCGTACTTGTGACATTCTCTTGTGAGAGATGAGTGAGCCTTTTATGAATCTTCGTATTGAGTGCGAACTTCATAATTGAGCTTTGCAAATGGAAAATAGAGGAGGAAGAGTTTGGAGTTCACCATGGCCAACATGATAGAACAAGAGTCCTTATGAGTTAAGTCAATTCTTGAAGCTCAAATGTCACATTAGAACTATATGTGCATGAATATTTGACTTGTCACCTTGTTTATGGTGCATGAGTAGCGTGGGTAATTGTTGGTCCCAACTGATGTGTGAATGGCTCACCTTTGACTCGCTGAACTGACCCTTATCTTTAGGAGGTGGGAACTAATTTATTTGTTTGAGGACAAGCAAAGACTTAATTTTGGGGGAGTTGATAAGTGGGGATTTTAACTACTTATTAGCACTTTTTGTTTTTGTCTTAGTTCTAAGTATTGATTTATGTTCCCAAAACTAATGAAAATATGCAAATTACAGGAATGTTGGAAGTTCAGTTTCCCATGATGAAATCCGACTAAAAAGGAGTGTTCCAAATCACAAGGCAATAAAGGGCGCGGAAGCAAAGAAGTGCAGTTCGCAGAAGAAAGTGCAGACCGTAGAATTCCATCTACGGCTGCAACCCAAGCTAAAGAACCCAATAGGATTTTGACAAATGTGCGGTCGCAAAACAGGTTCTGCACTGACAAATAATTCCAAGATTAAAGAGTGTGCAAAAGACCAAGTCCTGACGCCTTGCTGAAGTGCGGACTGCACAAGAATTGTGCGGCCATAGAAAACTCTTTGTAGCCGCAATCTAGAAATGTGCGGCTGCAAAATACCATCTCCTGCCAACTGAAAAAATCTGCGAACCACAAATGGAATTATGCAGCCGCAGAACCTCCCGAAGGGCATTTTTGTCAGCGAATTTTGGCCTACTATAAATAGATGAGTTTCACAAATTTAAGTCAAGTTTTGAAGAAAAAAATTGTTATAGTCGTTACCCTATACTACTTTAGGAAGTTTGTAACCATTTTAGTGTTTAAACATCATCTTTTACCTTTTAATCTTTTATTATGAGCTTAATTAGCTTTTCTTCTTTATTTTCTTCAATTCCCATTATGAGTAGCTAGATTCTTACTAGGGTTGTGATTCAACCCTAGTGTGTAAACCTTATGGGTATTTAATCTAATGTTTGTCTATGATTGGGTGTTAATTATTTAGCTTAGTTCATGCTTCAATTTTAGAATTAATGGTTGCATATACTGATTCATGCCTTTTTGGCTTAACCTCTACTTGAGAAAGAGGGACCTACTCTAGGATAACTTGGCTAACAAGTTATTAGTCTAATTGAGAGTTTGATTAGCCTAATTAAAGGGTTCAAACTAGAGATATGAGAACCCGACTTGAGCTCATATCAACTATTTTGTTTGATACCATTTGGACTTGAGAAAGGCTAATTGGGAAAAATCACTCTTTGACCGAGAGGTATTGAGTGGGCAATATAGAGTTGAGAGCTATAATACACCCCAATCAACAAAACAAGTATTAACATCTTTAACCCATTAGGCAAACACCTAGGTTATGGTCACATCCCTAGGCTTTTAAACTATTTGGAAAAACATCAAAAACAATCGTTAGTTTCTAGTTTCTTTTCCTTAGCTTGCAATCATTAGAGTAATAGTAGAAGTAGAAATCAAAACTTTGTTGTGGAAGTGCAAAATTAGTTAGTCCATTCACTCTTATCAAGTGTATACTCCTACCACCCATTATAGCCCCATGTAGATTCGACCCCGACTCATAGTTGGGTAATTTATATTGCATACGACAGTATCATATCTCTTTTCGAGGTGTTTTGTGGGCGTCATCATTCCTGGTGCTACTACAACTATTACTGCTAATGTTACTGCTAATGCCGCTACTGCTACTACTGCTGCTAAGGCTACTGCTACTGCTACTGCCACTCCTGCTGCTGCTACAGCTACTGTTGCTACTGCTACTGCTCCTGCTCCTGCTCCTGCTCCTGCTACTGCTACTGTTACTGCTACCGCTACTACTACTGCTACTATTACTACTACTTCAAGAAGTCAGTAGATAAGCTAGGTGAACAGAATTTCTACAGCCGGAGATCTTCCCTTGGACATGCTACTTGACCCGCACCAGTTTGCCACAGATCCTACAGCCCCATCTGCACGGGTAGCACCAGTTGGCCAGTCTGAGGAGCCACACCTTGCTGTCGACACTGCTGAGGCAGTGTGTGAGATGTTCGCCAATGCAGCCACACCTAGAGTCGAGGATGATGAGATCTAATTGGCTGATTCGGAGAGCGATGACATTGCTGGGGACACAGAGATGTCCAAGGAGCCATAGGGAGTTTTCTTCACCCTTTTCTCTTTTACTCTTATGTTAGTAAGTATTGGGGCTAATGATTACTTTTATTCGGGGGTGGAGTTTATTTGACAAATTTGGTACATTCTGATACAATTGGCATGTAATAATTTGATGATATTCTCTATTTTCTTATTTGTATGTATATACCTTCTCTCTCTCTATCGTTATGTATATTTATTCTATCTTTAGTAGTTTTTGCTCATTAGTTTCTTTATTGTAGTTTTTTACTTATTAGCTTCTTTATCTTTTCCCCTTTTTAGTTCTTGTTTCGTCATGTAGCTTCTTTTTATGTTCTAGTAGATAATAAGCCTTTGGTTTTCTTAACGTCGCGGTTCTTTCCGAAGGTAGCTTTTGTGAGAACCGGGTGACTCGTCCCAACGATGGATGGCGTGACAACCTTCTTAAGGGAATGAGTCCGTTTTTGTATTTAGGTAATAATAGTAGTAGTAATGAATAAAAAGACCTAATTAAGTCATGCTCGAAGAGTCAACCAAGCTTCAATTGGCACCAACACACTTAACGACATGCTTATGGTTAGAGACAAGGTTTTTAAAAGAAATAGCTCTAGTTAGTGACTTTGTGACTCTTGAGTTGAATTTTTCATCGAGTGGTTTAATTGGATCATAGTGATCTTTAAACTTGAATGTGTTCATTGTAGGTTCTCGACTCTATCCTCTTTTACAATCTACTTGCGTGAGGGGTGAGAAGAACTACTGTTAGTCCAAGTATCCGTGCGCAGGGTCTAGAACATGCCCCGAATGTGTTTCAAGGCAAAATCCTAAGTTTTGCTTGGATTGAGAAGTGATTGTGGGCTCTCTTGGCCCGTTTGAGTTTTCTATTTCCAACCAATGTCGTTATCCCTAGTCAACACCTTTGAGCCTCTAGCGTTTCTCATTCGATAACCATATTATAAGCCTTTACCCGTTTTGTTGTGAAACACTCTTGTGACATAAATGGCTTAAAACATAAGTTTAGGGGAGAGATGAGGAATTTGAAAAAGGTATCAAGGCACAAAAAATTAAAACAAATGTCTCTATGAAAGAGAAGGCAAGAAAAGAAAAAGAACAAAAAGAAAAATGCAAAACGTGAATAAGTGGAAGGGTTGATGGATTCAAAAAGAGGTAATGATCCCATAAAGTGAGAAATCAAAAAGGGAGAAAAAGAATGAAATTATAACAAAAGATTGATGTTAAGTCTCTTTAGTCCCCAATGAAAAGAAAGTTCCTCTAAGAATTGGCAATTGTGAGCCGAGAAATGAAAGATGGAGTGCTTAAGAAAAGGTGTAACCACTTACCCATATGATATCCTACTCTAACTCAAAAGCCTTCATTACATCCTGAAAGAAGTCCTACTTGATTTAAAACCTAGTGATCTTACATTAGTGGTGATCTACATGAGGGGCAAGCCTATAGTACTTGAAGCCGTACTTGTGACATTCTCTTGTGAGAGATGAGTGAGTCTTTCATGAATCTTCGGATTGAGTGTGAACTTCTTAAGTGAGCTTGGAAAATGGAAAGTAGAGGAGGAAGAGCTTGGAGTCCACCATGGCCTACATGATAGAACAAGAGTCCTTGATGAGTTAAGTCAATTCTTAAAGTTCAATTGTCATATTAGAACTATATGTGCATGAATATTTGACTTGTCACCTTGTTGATAATGCATGAGTAGTGTGGATAATTATTGTTCCCAAATGATGTGTGAATGGTTCACCTTTGACTCGCTTAAATGACCCTTAACTTTAGGAGGTGGGAACTAATTAATTTTCTTGAGAACAAGGGAAGACTTAAGTTTGGGGGAGTTGATAAGTGGGGATTTTGACTACTTATTAGCACCTTTTTGCTTTTGTCTTAGTCCGAAAGTATTGATTTATGTTCCCAAAACTAATGAAAATATGCAAATTGCAGGAATGTTGGAAGTTCGATCTCCCATGATGAAATCTGACTTAAAAATGAGTGTTCCGAAGGCAATAAAGGGCGCAGAAGCAAAGAAGTAAGGTCCGCGGAAGGATTTCTGCGGCCACAGAAGAAAGTGCGGACCGTAGAATTCCATCTGCGGCCGCAACCCAAGCTAAAGAACCAAACAGGATTTTGACAAATGTGCGGACTGCACATAAATTGTGAGGCCGCAAAACATGGTCTGCACTGACAAAAAATAATTCCAAGTTCAGAGAGTGTGCAAAAGACCAAGTCCAGACGCCTTGCTGAAGTGCGGACTGCATAAGAATTGTGCGGCCGCTGAAAACTCTTTGTAGCCGCAATCCAGAAATGTGCGGCTGCAGAATCCCATCTTCTGCCAACTGAAAAAATAGACCGCACATGGAATTATGCATCTGCAGAACCTCCCGAGGGGCATTTTCGTCAGCGAATTTTGGCCCACTATAGACAGAAGAGCTTCACAAATTTAGGCCAAGTTTTGAAGAAAAAAGTTGTTATAGTCGTTACCCTTTACTACTTTAGAAAGTTTGTAATCATTTTAGTGTTTAAACATCATCTTTTACCATTTTAATCTTTGATTATGAGTTTAATTAGCTTTTCTTCTTTATGTTCTTTAATTCTTATTATGAGTAGCTAGATTACTAGGATTGTGATCCAACCCTTGTGTGTAAACCTTATGGGTATTTAATTTAATGTTTGTCTATGATTGGGTGTTGATTATTTAGCTTAGTTCATGCTTCAATTTTAGAATCAATGGTTGCAAACATTGATTCATGACTTTTTGACTTAGTCTCTACTTGAGAAAAAGTGACCTAGTCTAGGATAACTTGGCTAACAAGTAATCGGGCTAGTTGAGAGATTGATTAGCCTAATTAAAGAGTTCGACCTAGAGATAGTGAGAACCCAACTTGAACTCATATCAACTATTTTTTTGATACCCATTTGGACTTGAGAAAGTCAAATTGGGCAAAATCACTCTTTGACCGAGAGGTATTGAGTGGTAATAATACACCCCAATCAACAAAACAAGTATTAACTTCTTTAACTCATTAGGCGAACACCTAGGTTATGGTCACATCCCTAGGCTTTTAAACTATTTAGAAAAACATAAAAAACAATCGTTAGTTTCTAGTTTCTTTTCCTTAGCTTGCAATCATTAGAGCAATAGTAGAACTAGAAATCAAAACTTTGTTGTGGAAGTGCAAATTTAGTTAGTCCATTCACTCTCATCAAGTGTATACTCCTAACACCCCTTATAACTCCCTGTGGATTCGACCCCGACTCATAGTTGGGTAATTTATATTGCATACGACCGTATCATATCTCTTATCGAGGTATGTTGTGGACGTCATCACTGCTACTACTACTGCTAATGCTACTGCTACTGCTAATGCTACTGCTACTGCTACTCCTACTGCTACTGCTACTGCTACTGCCACTACTACTGTTGTTGTTGCTGCTACTACTGCTACTGCTACTGCTATTACTACTACTATTGCTATTGCTATTACTACTACTACTGCTACTGCTACTGTTACTGCTATTGCTACTGCTACTCCTACTGCTACTGCTCCTACTACTACTACGACTACTGCTACTACTACTGCTACTGCTCCTACTACTACTACGACTACTGCTACTACTACTGTTGTTGCTACTACTGTTGTTGCTGCTACTATTACTACTACTACTACTACTACTACTACTACTGTTGTTGTTGTTGCTGCTACTGCTACTATTGTTTTTTATGTTGCTGCTGCTGCCGCACCTGTGTCGGATCCTCCAAAAATGCACTAAATTTGGAGGATCCGACACGCACCCAACAACATTTTTAAAAAGTGCGAGTAACATAGACTATTACTGCTACTACTAGCTGGGAATAGGTTTTAGACTGGATAGAGAACTTCTACTACTACTACTAATATTATTATTATTATTATTATTATTATTATTATTATTATTATTATTATTATTATATGAGTTGAGCTAAATGAAAGAAATGAGGATTTATATAGCTCGACCCTAATTTGTTTAGAACTTAAACGTAATTATTATTGTTGTTGTTGATATACCTCAACAAAAAAACTTTTTAATCTATAATGAGTGAACGGATTTGTTGCTTTTGTGATAGGAGTATTAGTTTTTTGTTCTTCTATTTTTTGTACTTCTAATTAAAACTCCAACTGCATTTGTGTGTCTTGGATTGCTAGTGTTACTCTCAGTATAATCTCACAGTCCTGTCTATTCTTTTGGTAAGGGCCGGGGAGGTCTATTTTATATAGGTATAATCTTGTTTTTTGCTCTCAAGTGATTTTCATTGTTTTACATCAAATTAATAAATATATTATTAAACATTTGCGGATATATTTTTTCCCTTCCTAATACAATAATCGGATCATGCATGTGCTTGGTCGACATTGTTACTTTATCTGTATATCCACACGTTCATTCCGATCGAGCGCCCCAATAAAGTTCAAATGGATGTGGAATCCTCGTACCAATGTATCCATTTCTTCCCAAAATTTACTTTACTTTTCGTATGTAATCCTATTTATTATTAAATAGAATAGACACTACTAGATATTTGTCCCCTTTCACGGAGTATCCCAATGGAATAATATCAACAATTTTCTTTTATGCGTCTGCAACTTTATTCTTAAGTCTTGATTTTACATGTCTATACCAATCTTAGTAAGTGGAGGAATTCGACAATTAAAGAAATTTGTTTGTTAAAACTTTCTAAACCCATTGTGTCAATCGAGGTCTTCTGGGTGAGGGCAGGGCAATTTGAAACCCAACAACAGACAACAACATCTTAATTCATAAGTACATTGCGAGTTTTTGCCTCTGTCATACTGTTTTAGGCCTCTACTTATGGTTTTTTTTTATTTCCCACCCAGTATCCCGTACCAGCATTAGATCCCGAACCCCAGATTTTTGATCAAGGGAAGAGCAGCCCCATCCGGTGCACCACATCTTTTGGTGATTACTTGTGGGTTATCAATGCGTATTATTATTGCGTCAAAAGATATATAGACCAATGAGGTTTGATTAGACTTGCCTATGACACAACGATCAAAATTTTGGTATATGGAATTAGATGCATTTAACTTATATATACTTATAATAGAAACAATTTTAACTATATATCAAATTACTAAAAAATAATTTCTGTATAAGTAGTTATTCATAATTAGTGAAACTAGTTCAAAAATAAGTAGACAAATTGCTATGATGTTGTAAGTTATAAAGATAGCATAATCAATTTATATAAAATTAAGTTCAACTAAAATCGACATTATCAACAACTACACCGACAAGGCAACTAATGAATGCAGAGTAGTAGCACATGAGAAACTTGACAAAAAATGAAGCATTAGGGGACCAAATCGATTTAGGCAAGTCATGGAGATGAAATTTACGTACGGTTGTTGAAAACAAAAAAGGCAAAGGGGGCACGTGGCGTAATCATAGACCTCACAAGGTGGCTTGCATTAAAGAAAATCCAAAAAATGATGAAAATGGAGAAGCATCATTGAATAGACAAGTACTCAGTATTAAATTCGATGGGCCAGGTCTAAGATATGTAATTGGTGGTTGAGAATTGGAATTTTCATGGCCACCCTCTTTAATCTTGTGGCTGTGGAGCATTCCCTCAGTTGACGCCACCATATATTTTTCTTTACGGTTCCTCTAATAGATCATGGTGATATTTCTGGTCAAAACCCGAGAAAAATAATCCTAGTCCCACTTATTATCATTATCAATTAGTAGTAGTAGATTACTAAACAGCAGTTTCCTTTAAAGAAATATAGTTTGTGAGTTGTTTCCTGCATTTTGTACTAAGTATTCAACTTGACGTAAAGATCCAGACTTTGGAGGTTATTTGACGTATATTGAAGCGTTGTTGATAAAGAGTTGAAAGTGATAAGTAATGTTGTTAGCCTTTAAATTTGTGTTAATATTGGGGGAGTCCTAGAAATGAATAATGCGGACACTTTGTGACGTTTGTGAAAGTGCTGCTGCCATTCTTTTTTGCGCTGCCGATGAGGCTGCACTTTGCCGTGCCTGTGACGAGAAGGTCTAATTTTACTGTCAATCTAATACTCTTTGTCCTTTTGTACTTGCATGAAACTTGTATTTCTTCTTTTGGGTGTTTAGAGGTAATTAGTTTGTTGAATGTGTTCAGTTTAGCATTTTATTTGTTGATGGGATGGAATAATTGTTAAAGTCAACTTATATCTGCAAAAGGAACGGAATATAGTGAGTTGCAGATATCTTGAGTCGAGCGTAGTTATAAAATCTACAAGATAGGATGATGCTATTTTTAGGACTGAAATTAGCTATCAAAACGTACATCATTGCCTGAAATTATCTATGTGTGTTTTCTTTTTCTTTTGATAAGTGCGATTATGTGTGTCTTTGTGTTATTTAGAGAGGCCGTAATCTGTTGATCCTTCATCAACTTCTTTAAGGTCGAAAATCATGCTGACCTGTTATGCAAATTGGCATTTCTTCAGTATTTGCAACCAGGGAATCATTGCTTCTTCTCTCTGGTTTTGGTTTCATCTGTTCAACTACTTTAAGTTAGTAGGAGTAATTTCTTAGTCCTTAAGGGTTATTTTATATATCTATATGTTGGAATTTGTCTAGTGATTGTGACCTTCCTCGTTGTTGAATTATGCGATCATCTTATCTAAACGTTTATGCTATATTAGAGAGACACACTTCTGTTTACTTAATTATATCCTTAACATGTCCCTTCACGTGTAAGCCCAACTCTTTTTTATGGGTCAAGCATGTGGGAAAAATCTATTGATTACGAATTGTGGTGAGACATGAAACAAGAACTCCTGCCTACTTCTATACCATGTTGAATTATGTGGTCACCGTATCTAAAAGTTTAAGATGTTAGAGAGGGTACACGCTTCTATGCTCTTAATTATATCTTCAACACTACTCATTTCTGACCCAGAGGCATGAAAGGCCAAATCTACTGGAGTGCCATCTGAGTCAACTTTTTCTAGGTTTAACCAACTAATATTGACAATGCCGCTAAGAGACTTGATGTTCTCCATTCTTTTGGGCGTTTCTAATCGTATTCAGATTTGTCCATAGGTTCATATGTGTAATAAGCTTGCTAGTAGGCATGTGAGGGTTGGACTAGCTAAGCCCGATGATGTTCCTCGTTGCGACATATGTGAAAATGCACCTGGTACATGGAGTTTAATCCTCTTTATTCTTCAGTTCTTTAGTTTTTTCTTCTGATTCCTGTGATGTTATTTTGTTGTTTTATCCTACTCAATAGGGCGTGCAAAACGAACTAACTATTGCTAACTTCCTTTGCGTTACACGCGAAGCATTCTTTTACTGTGAGGTTGATGGAAGTTCTCTTTGTCTGCAATGCGACATGATCATACACGTTGGAGGTAAACGAACACACAGTAGATATCTCCTGTTGAGGCAGAAAGTTGAGGTTGGTAACTCTGTCGTATGAGTTGCATCCTACTCTTGATATGTGCACTGTGATATGCTTTGGTTCATCTTTCTATACTTTCTCATGTAGTTTCCGGGAGACAAACCTGGGCCTACGGAGGAGTTAGCCTGCAAGACATTAGATCCTAGTGAAAACAAGAGGGAATATAGTCACTCACCAAAGCCAATGGTTGAAGACAATCAACAAAATCGCAGATTCTCTCCTGTCCCAGTTTCAGATGGGAGTGCAGATGATCATGCCAAGAAGGACAAAATGATCGACTTAAATGTGAAGCCAAGTCATTATCATGGTTAGGCATCTAATCAGGTTAGGCACTTTACATCTCTCAGAATCAATCCCAGAATAACTTTGCCATATTTCATCAATAATATCTACTCAATAAAGTGTGAGTTTTCACATTTTCCTTTTTCATTTTAATGCTAAAATTGTATCATGTGAACTGAACTGTTTGAAAACATATAAAAGATGATGTTTGAAGAGGGAGAATTGACTGGTCTATAGAAGATAGATAATTTGTCAAGAATTCTGAAGTACATCAAAATTGAAAAAGAAAAAGAAAAACCAAAACAAAGTATTTACCACTTTGATTTCCAATCAGGGTAATCCAATTTGATCTGCATAAATGCTTATAGAGATATCACCTTTCATATATCGCCTTTCATTTACGGAGAGGAAATACGGTAAACTGGATGACTTTTGGTTACTGTGGAAATGTAAATCCTTTCTGAACTACTGGAGGTTGCTGAAATATCTGCTGATGAGATGTGCTTTTTTCATTTTCGTGTTTTCTTGCTAATGTCTCTCTTATAAGTCTCCTGGAATCCCATTCATGAATCGTTTCGTATAGAAGGTCCCTGCTTTAAGTTGCAGTCGTCACTGTCCAGTCTTTGTTAAACCAACTAGGATGATTCTATTCTTAGCCCAAAAAAGAGGAAGAAAATAACTTGACAGATTGTTCATGAAAAGGTTGATCCCATAGTATTTCCCTATTGTAAGGTTTTGATCATTACTTTATGAACTGTTTCTTTTTTACCTCAACAGGATTAATACATCTTGAGGGCTGTTCCAGCCAGATCGCATTTATGAAGAAATGTAAGTGAGGCGTCACACTTATAACTCATATGGCGTGCATGTTCCACCTTTGCGCATGTGATAGAAGATTCACCAATGTTATTGATGGAGCTCATTAGCCCAGATTAGTAGTCCAACAACATTCAGGCAGCTAGTTTATGATAAACTGCATGTTCTGATTGCTTTGAGGTCCTGCTGAAAAACTTCGCTAGTAATTTTTTGCTAGACTCGTAATCAAGTTTTGTCTTAGGATTTAGTTTAGCTGTTAAGACAGCATCGTAGAACTGCCTGCTGAAAGTTGTTGATGTAATTGAAGTTTAAGGTGATTTTGGCAGATGTTGCTGTTATCTTAAAATCTAAGATCACTTTTGAGTGTAGAGATTATTTTCATTGTTTCTTGCAGTTGTATTAAGGTTCATTAAAATTTTCTTTTATCAAAAAGAAAAGAACTTTAATACGTCACATCCCCGTAGGATGGTTTCTTTTCTAGCAAAAGGAATGGCAACAGAAACAACCAATTCTTCCTGCTTCGCCGGTAAGGAAGAAGAGGTGACTCCTACATTCGAAAGAAACCAAATAATTAAAAGAATTACAGAAAGCAGCTATGGAGAAAGTTTTCTGCTGAAATACAGGATTCCATAAGCAACAGTGAGCAAGAAGGAAGGAAAAAGAAAAGAAGAAACAGAGTGGAACATGAGTCCTACAGTGTGATATTCCACGAATGGGGAGCCTAGTAGTACGAAGAACTATTTACAACTAGGTGAATCATTTGCAGCTAACTCTTTGAGGGAATGGTAGTGGAAGATAATAGTTGGTGTGATGGCAGTTCTAGCTATGGCCTCAGCTGCAGTTCTGTAAGGCACAAAACTGTCGAGCAGATAGATTTGTGGATGTCTGCGTGCCAGTATTCAGATAGGAGTTCAATATGAAGATTATGAAACAGTTATAAGCCTGTACAAACGGAAGATGTACTTTTTGTCCTTCAACTATCATTAAATTATGTATCTCGTTGTCACAACAGGTCTGCATATACTTTACCTTCCCCAAACCCTACTTGTGGGATTTCACTGAGTTTGTTGTTGTCACAACAGATATGTAATTGCTCATGCATGAATCACCCCATCTTTTTTGTAGCAGTTATCCTTCCTATGCCCTTATGTTTCATTTCTATAGCTTTCAGTTTTTCTATTGGTGGACCTGCTCAACTATGCCTATGATCATGCTTTTGGATGTATATTAGAAGTGGATTTTTTTCTTCCTTTCTACTAAATTTGATTCTGATGGCATTTGCCACATGTTTGCACCTTTAACATTGTGAAGAAGTTGAACCCATAACATAAAATAGACCAAGCTTGATGAGTGTTATAAATTGCTAATTGCACAACGCTATATGAACAAAACAGTCTTCAGGAGCTATAAGCATTTATGCAGTTCGACTTAGCTACATTACACGCTTCATATTCAAACATCTATAGACTTTGGTAGACCACTTAGTAAACGTATCCCTTCACGAACATTCCCTTCTTGGCCTCCTCGGACTCACCTTCACCAGTGTATTTCCCGAGCTGGGCAAGAGAGTTGGCCTTTGCTCTAACAAGCAAAGCTTCCTGAGCTGCCTGCACATTTTCTGGTCTTCCACCCCATGTCTTGAGGCATGTGTTCTGAAGGGCTCTTGCATATGAGAACGACACATGCCATGGGTTGGGACCTTGGTTCATGGCGTTCAAGTTAAGAGTTGCCTCAACTTCAGATTGTCCACCAGACAAAAACTGTGTAGAACAAACCATGTAAACGATTAACAGTCAAGTTCTTGGAATTATGGAAAAATGTTTGATATAATAGAAATGTGGATAATACTTGCCATGATTCCTGGGACGGCAGGAGGGATTCTTTGGCGGAGGAGTTTGAGGGTGTAATCAGCAACTTGCTGTGGGGTGGCCCTTTCCTTGCACTCTGCTCCAGGGGTGACCATACTGGGCTTCAAGAGGATACCTTCAAACATGACATTGTTCTCGGCGAGGTAGAAGAACACTTCAGCCCACACCTTCTTGGCGACTTCAAAGGTCCTGTCAATGTTGTGTTCACCATCAAGTAAGATCTCTGGCTCAACGATTGGTACCAACCCATTGTCCTACAAGAATGAACCAGAAACTTTAACCATTATTCGTGTTGAAAGCTTAGAATAACATAGAGTTTAAGTTATATACACTGATTTCTTAAAATTATTTACAATATTAGTGCAATTTCATCTATTATAGCACATTACCTACTATTGTAGATAAATTTAACCTGCACAAAACTTGAACTCTAACAGAAATTCTTTCAGATTTGTGTGTTTCTGCTTCCTATATATAAACATGCCAACTTACCTGAGAAATGGCAGCATAGCGAGCAAGACCCCAGGCTGCTTCCTTAACTGCAAGTGCAGAAGGACCATTGGGAATGCTCACAACAGTACGCCTGTAAGATTCACAAGGGAGAAGTAAGATGAGCTTCAAGTTAAGCAATTGTTGTATAACTTACAAAAGAAAAGTGCTTTACCATTTGGCGAAACGGGCGCCTTGTTGGTAGTAAGCAGCCGAGCGGGAGGCAAGGCCATCTAGACCTTGACACCATGATTCATCGTTTGAGCCAGCCAAGGGAACAAGACCCTGTGAATATTCAAACTCTTAGAAATTCATGACCAAAGAAACTTATGACCTTTTAAATCACTAAGGTTAGATCTTTTACCTTGTCAACCTTAATACCAGGAACAATGTTCTGCTCAACCAGCACATCAACAATTTTCTTTCCTTCGACGGTTGATTGATAAAGTGTCTCCTCAAAGAGGATGGCACCAGAGATGTAGTCCCCAAGTCCAGGAACTGAAACAAGTAGAGTCCTGTACGCCTGGCGGTTAGCCTCAGTGTTCTCCAATCCGATTGAAGCTAAACGCTTCCCGCAGGTAGCATTGGACTCATCCATTGCCAAAATTCCACGTCCAGGGGATGCAATTGTTTTCTACACTCAATTCATTAGTTCAAATCAGCCACATATGCTTCATTTATCTCAAGAAAGTTCTAAAGAAACTCTTAACACTTATACTCAGAAAATTCTTACTGATCTCAGTATATCCCTTATTATATATATCACTTTATCTTGGTTGTAAATTTGAGCAAAAACAAACAATACCACTGTAAGAAAAATGATCAAGAACTGGTAATAATACATTCTTTCATCTTTTTATCAAGAAAAAGAAGGAAGAAAACAATAGCAAAACACTACTCTATGGGAATGGCATGCAAAAAGACAGAGGCAGATGGAGTGTATTGTTTATGGATTCAGCTAGACTTAATATTTCAACACGGAACATAAATATACATGTGAAAGAAACCGCTCAAATTTCCTTGGGTCCACGCATAAGGGGTGTTTATAGTACTATTTTTCTACTCTCTTATCTTTCAATTCCAGTTAGGGTTTAGACTGTGGAATAGGCGGTTGTTTTGACATGCCGTGACAACCACAACCGACCAGTAATTCCGGCCGCAGTTCATCCGTTCCTTCCGCTTACGCTACGCAAATAAGTAAGTTCTCGTTTTACGATTTACGCGTTAATCTAATGTGTTTAGTTTACTGGATTCCTTCATTTCTGCAATATCAAATTTTGGACCCATAGTTTTAGAAGTACAAAGAGTTCAATGCTAAGTAACCTTAAGGTTAAACTTATCAAGTTTAAATCATACAACTGCCTCCGCAAATAAGGCCCAAGGAAGCAAGCTCATCTTTCGTAGTTGCATAATACCATGCTTTAAAATTTCTTACTCCAGAGTAGTAAGAGATAGCTAAGCAGTTAAAAGAACACAAGACAGCTAACGTGCATGTTGTGACTAAGTAAAACAACTACCACATTAAGTATGAAGAGAATTAAAGTGTGTCATTCGCGATACATAAAATAGTTCAGTCGGACCTGCTCCTCCTGAAGACAAAGCAAATGAAGTAGTAGCTAGATAGGAAAATGTTATAAAAGAGCATGTACCGCGGTTTTAACGAGCTCATCGGCATAGGAGCTAGCACGGACAGTAAGAGCAGAGGAAGCAGCTGGCTGACAGCGGACGACGGAGACTGATGGCTGGCGGAGGGACTGCCCTTTAACAAACTCAGTCTTGTCAAGGACTGGAGATGTCTTGAGGAGAGATGCTGATGCCATTTTTTCTTTCTTTCCTTATCTTTTCTCTCCTCAGCTACGAGTTTTTCTTGTGTGTTCAATACAAGCGGAGAGCCCCGTGCTCACTTCATTTTATAGTTCCAGGAAGATAATATTATTTGTGGCCATTATACTTTCACCAATCAGCACGTGCCACTTGGCTTGATAACTTGCTGACTTGGCTTTACTTATGTAGGTATTTGCAAACTGATGGTTGGTTTTCATTAGTTTACTCCTTTTTCTTATTTTCCTTATCACTTAAAGTTGCTGTGTCACAAATTTAGCTCCTTTTTGGAACTTTGTAAAACCATAAATATGGTTGCACTATTGGACTTCCAATTTTTGCCAGTTAACCAATCATTGGACCCATTAGATTTGAGGCTCTGATTGTTCTAAAACACAAGAATACAAAAATTCCTAATGCAGCCTGATTCAGCTTCATTAAAAGAATACAAAAATTAAGTTGAGTGGCCACAATGCAATGACGTCAAGATTTAAAAGAATCTCCACTTTTAATTGAAAGATCCACCACCCTGATTCAGCTTCATTATTCGAAATAATTTTTCCATTTTAGCAAAAATACGTGATTTTGAAGTTCCGAAGAATCTCTTTCGTAAAAATGGTTGGTTAGTAGCAAGTTCCTCTAGCTTTATTTCCTGCGAAGGAGGCAAGCAACAACCTTTCAAAGAGTTGATTAATGAGATTGATAGTTCCTATAAAATTGACTGCATTTGAACGATCAAGGGAAGATGTATACTTCCTTTCCAACATGGGTCCTCATGAAAATCTCCACACAAATTGGCATTAAAGTCACATATTTCTTCTCTTTTGCTTGTAACATCTGAAGAATGTATTACATTCGGGTCCATCATGCCCAAAAGATCTGCCAATATATTCCACATCTAAATTCTAATCAAGGAAAAGTGAGCACATTATGAATCTCATAGCACGTCAATAGTAGATGCCAAATTCAGGGATGGCCCATAAATTCAAGAAAACAATGTCATGACTCAGGAGCCACTTGGAACACATCTGTCCTTCCTTCTCTTTGTTTCTTCCCTATTAACTGTTTGTTATCGCTGAGATGGTGTTCCTGTATCCCCATCACATCCCATTAGGAATTCAAGCAATCAAATGCTAATGAGGAGGGAGTTGCAATTCTTGTACTGCTAACAACATTAAATACAAGCATCAATGGTGTGTATATCATGCATGTGAGGCCTATATAATAGGAGTGGAGAAGGAGACCTTACACTTCGCACCTGTCTTAAGAAACAAGAAGCTTTCCTTGTACAAAATCTACAACCCGTAATCCTTACCTGATAAACTCAATCAGAAACATCATGAACATTTCGCCTTAATTTCATTTCTTTTCCCTTTTCTAATGGTTAGGAACTCAGGTACTATCCTAACTAGGTTGAGATGACGAAACAGATGCTTATATATTGAGTAAACCCATGAAAACACGTCGGTTATAAATGAAGTTATTACCTCCAAACTCCTTGGCTTTTTTAGTATAGGTGGAATCACGGACACCATCAACAATGTTCCCAGAAGCCAGGAGAAAATAAAAATACCAGCTCTGTAACACAATAAAATCCAAAAAACTATCCGGTAGGAAAGTTGAGAACATCTGGATTATCAAATGGGATAGGTAACATATGGAGAAAGTCTTGGAATTTGTGAACTGAAAAAATATATTTCCATGATTAGCATTAGTGTTTATAACTAATATTCAGCAGGGGCTGTACTAAGTCAGTAATTGCTGATAAGCATATGATCATACTGTCAAAAAAAAAGCTCGAGGACTTTGTCATATAGCATACTCATTGAGAAAAGCTCGGGGTTTGCTCTTTAGCTAGTCATAAATGAAATATGTAGTAGCAATCAGGGAAATAACAGCTTGAAGTGTTGTTGGACCTTCTTCAGTTGGAAAGAGAACCGTGAGAGATGCAAGGACTACGGCAAGGCAATGGAAGTCTCCATACCACATTCGTAGCTGGAGTTCTACAACTGTTTGTGACAGCCTGCAGAGCACGTGGTTGTTTTTACTTCCTTGATTTTCTTCTTAATGTCAACTCTAGGGTTCTTTCTCTTGTACAACTTCTGCATGATTATTTTATCATGGGCTTATTCAATTGCATCCACACTTGGCTTATGACCAGCATGCATTTTTTCTAGGAAGTTTCTAGCACCATGTATCTCATCCTGTCAAGCTTCCCTGCATATTCCAAGTCGTTTGCACGGATCACATTGATTCTGGGAAAGATAACTGCAGTTGAAGAAACAAGACACATACAGAAGAAAATACATCAACAAGAGTAACTAGAAAGAAAAATAATGGAAACTTGAATTAGTGACCACCATCAACGAGTAGGACATCACAACTCATGCGAAAGAGGTTATAATTGGGGGAAGCAGCTCATAAATGAATAGAAAGAAAATGTGTAATGTCTGAATCAGGAAGTTGAGTTACTCACTGAAAGGAATGCAAACTATTTGAAGGGGTCAGTATTCAATACCAAGAATAATGTTAGTTTGAAAACTAAGTAAATTGTCATTTAGCAAGGAATCTACAATAACTAAGTATTTTCCTATACATCAATAGTATCCGAGTCCAGAAAGTGAAAATGTCTCAAAGAACCACTTAATATAATTGGAGTATTTTGAACACCTTCATGCTCAGGTACCTTTGTAGAATAATATGCTCCAGCAGCACATGCCAAAACACTCTAATCTCCATGGACAAGAGTTTCAATTTGCCCCACCCTATGTCTTGCAAAGTCCCTGAAAGCTCCCCTAGAGTCTTAGCCCTCGAATCTGAAGTTTTAAGCAGCTTTTAGGGACTTGCCTAACTTGATCTGCCATAAAGACGGCAAAGATTCATAAACCCACCCAACAGATGTATGACATAGACTATTTCCTCATCAACTATTCTCAATCCTAAATTAGTTGGCTAGCCATATGAATCGCTCCATTTTGTCTACTAGAGCTTCTTTAAAAGTAGAGATTCTTCAAATCTCACACTTATTGAGACACAAGTTCCTGACCAAACTTGGTAAACAAACACCAGACCCAATGTAAGTGTGACAGAACAAATAAACCATAATTCTAATTCATATCTCCTTGCCGCTGCATTGCGGATAAATAGATTTAATGGGCACATGAAACTTGTATATGGGAAGAAGCACATTTTAGAATGTATAATAAAGAGGAACAATAGAGGATTTCTATTTAGAAAACGGTTACATAAATGTAATCCAATCCCACTTCAGAAAGCTTCAATCAGAAGGTAATAATCTTACAAGAGGGGATGTGAAGAAATGATTATGCTAACAAACAAAGTATGTTTCCTATGTGGTATGCACTAAATTTTGACTATCTCAACTCAATTACAATTAACACCCACCCTCCTCCGCCTGGCCTCCTCTAGGTCCCATTAAAGAGAAACAATTTCCAAATAATGGGAAAGAAAATACATAGGTAAGGAATTAAAAGAAACCTGCAGATTATGAACTTTGCTGCGTTCTACACCTCATTCAATAAATAAATTATCTATAATTTTAAATAACAACTCCGTTGTAGTCTAGTCGGTTAGGATGCTCGGCTCTCACCCGAGAGACCCGGGTTCAATTCCCGGCAACGGAATTTTCTTTTTTTTCTTTCTAAATTTCATTTATAGATATAGGACAAAATTAATCCTAAGCAAACGATTTATGGACGTATTAGCTGTTTGTCGTCATCATTAAAATAGAGAACAAAAATCATTTTGAAAGATAAACTTTGATTTCAACCCATTATGTATCGAATAAATATCTTAAGGAGCCTCTTAACACTTACGTCTCTTTTTTAAATTTTTCATAATATCCTTGTATTGTGATAACAAGTAGTCCTCGTTGTTGATTGGGCAAGGCAAATCGAGTACAAAGTATATGGTATATAAATTTTAAATTTTAAATTTTAAATATAATACAATACGAATAACGACTTTCGTGCACAAAAGAGGGCGGGACTCATTTTAATTTTCTTGTAACCAAACATGCACTTCCTATTTATGTATTTTATCATGAAAACTGTTGGCATTAGCCCGTAGCTTTTGGCTTTACCGTGCCACTAGCTGACAGCAAAGGCAATAGATCAAAATCAAACGTTTTATGCGTAAACGTTGTTGGATTTTTGAAGATGAACAACTTTGGACGACAGATACAATGGTTTTAGGTTTTCATATCACCTTCTGTGTTGTCAATTGCATAAGGCTGCAGAAAATCCCATCAGTGATATGATGCATCATTAACTACTTTTTGCACAACTTACGCCCAGTGAGGCAGTGACAGAACCACCTAAGGGGTGTCAATTGACACTTTTTTGTCGAAAAATTACACTATTTAGTTAGGTCAAAAAATTATTTTTATGGATATATAGGGTAAAGCGGCGCATAAAAAAGGGCTGGCCCGTAAAATGTCTGGTTCCTTTGCGAACGAAGTTCAGAATCAACAAGGATTCGTAGAACGAAGAGAGTGTATAACTGGTGCGCAGCCCCACTTTTTTGTTCGCAACGAGGGAGAGATAGAATGGAGTTCTACACGAAGTTCGAAACAAAGGAATAAAAAAAAGTTTCTTTACGGCCTCCTCGTTTTGAGACTTTATGGCTTAGGGGTCGACCCCGGTAACAAAGAAGGAATCCATAAAAACTTAGGATCCGACACCATAATAAAATACTACTACACTATATACTATATATTGAGTCCCATTATTTTGTTTTCGTGTGTTTACTTTTTTATATTTTGATACACCTTAGTAAAATTTTCAGCGCCGCCACTACTTACGCCTGCGCCCCTTTCCTCAAATTATTACTCCTTCCTACAAATTCACATGTGCAAATGCCTTCAAGATGCACAGTAGTAGAACTTAGGATTGTAAAGCGTTTCAACTACAATGTTTAAAAACATAAACATAACACTACAACTAAAGGAGAAAGATATTTGTACAATCTAAGATATGTCTATTATCATCGGGAATCTTAATCAAGTTGTTATACCTAAAAGGGTCCGTTAAAACATATCATTTTGATGACTACTTAGTAAACGACTTCGGTAAGTTTATTAGGCAAAAATCACACATCTTGTACCTCAATTTTTTATTGGCTGAACACATAGACATCCCTCTAAACTTGTTCAAATTTGTCATTTAAACGTCTACACTAAGCTTATGATCAATGGAACACATGACTTATAATTAGCCAATCGAACATTTAATTTACAAATGACTTAATTATAAAAATTAGATGTATATATAAACCTTTAATAATGTATGTTCAATGTTATTAATTTGATGCAACTACCTTAGTTTTCGGGTTTAAATTTGTATGTCACATCCGATGGTCAAACACATTGCATATGAAATACCTCCAATTCTTCATCACGGATAAGATATATCATGACTACCTTCATGCAACAACTCCATTCACATCACGCCTCTTCCCCTAATTTAATACATTCCCTACTCAAAATCCCAAACTTTATTATTAATATTTTATACTGTAGTTTCGACCCATGAATAGTTTTTCTTCCTCCCAACTTCCATTGAAAAAATATATCGTCACATGAAAAATTAAATAATTGCCTGTAATACCAAACTCGTGCATGAGGGTTCCATGAATGATGCTAGAGTTTCTCAAAATCCGTTCCTGCTTTATCATTTTAGTCAACCTTCTTCTTCTTAAAATCATTTATCTGCCGCAAACAAGCAGAAATTAATCCATGCAAAATGATGCAATAGCTCTAGAGAGTTCACATTTTTTATTGCAAATATATAGCGGAGGATGGCCTATAATGGCCATTGAGTTGTGTACAGGTTGGTGGTTTGTGTTTTTTTCCTGCAATATAGTCACGGTTTCCTCCTCACAGTCCCACTCTCCAGCTGACCAAAACAGACACTTCGCTATCAAACAGTGATAAGATGACAAACAATCGGTACACCTAAACTCAATATTTTCTACACGGAACATAAATACATGTACTTAATTAAAATCACTAAAATCTTAGTAAATTTTTTCTAAACACATAATTTTAAAAGTACGATGAGTTCAACGCTAAGAACGTAACCTAATTAATAACTGAACTAATCAAGTTTAAATCTTGGGTTCGTTTCTGGTCATTTATGGCATACGGACATAGGGTAAAATCAAGATTCAGGATAGATTGGTCTCAGTGAGCAAAGAAACAAAAGGATAATACGAGTACGAGTACAGCCACGACTTGTCAGATTCTCTTCCTATGCTCTTTCTTATTCTTTCTCCCGGGCCAATCATTTTTATCTCATACACGTACATTAATTATTTTTTTATTTTTTTCACACTCTGTGGCCCTTTTTAAATAGTACTCCAATTTCTGACTCTCATTATCTTCAAACTTCATCAAGAGTATAATCATTATCACATTGGGGCATGGCTACTTCAAGGACGAGACTACTAGAGTTGCTTTTTATCTTAATTTTATTTTTTGCTATTAGTGCAAATGCTAAAAGGGGTAAGCATTCTAGGAGGCATAATAAGTTGAAGGTGGCTAATGAAGATGGTTTCTTGAATTGGATAAATAGCATTAGTTCTCGCAATCATTCTGTCTTCCAAGAAGCGAAGAACAAATTTGAGCCTTGCAAATATATTAAGGTGAATAAAAACCCAAAGCATGGAGATTTTACTACGGTTCAAGAGGCTATTGACTCAATTCCAATTGTCAATTCTTGTCGAGTGGTTATTTCTGTTAGTCCTGGGATTTACAGGTAAATTAACTTTTATTGTCCTGTTTTCTGCATCTTGAGTAATTGTATACGATAAGGCATTCAATTATTGTGTTTTAGATTGCACAGGACAAAACATGTTCATTAAACAGGACATTTTGAACAATGTTGCTAGTTATTTACGTTAAAGTTTTGTATAAGTGAGGTTAAAAATTTGCAGGGAGAAGATTGAAATTCCAGCAACAATGGCATACATTACACTGGAAGGTGCTAGTTCACGCAAAACGACTATCAAATGGGATGACACTGCAGATAGGGTAGGAAAAGATGGCCAGCCAATGGGAACGTATGGTTCTGCAACGTTTGCTGTTAATTCCCCCTACTTCATTGCCAAAAACATCACCTTTAAGGTAAATTGTGTAGTAATGCTTATTTTTAGGGAATAGCGATGCATGTATTCTCAAGGTATAATTTTTAAGTTTAACTTATTTAAGGTAATTAAAGGCAACAATGGTAACTAGAAAAATTCTGTTCTGTGTTCAGTTTAACATGTTCAATTGCACCAATTTTCGGAAAAGTTCATTTACGTTGTTAGTGAATGTAAGATAAATCCATAATTATTTCCTCCGTGAACAGAATGTAGCACCACCACCACCATCAGGGGCACTGGGAAAGCAAGCTGTGGCATTAAGAATTTCCGCAGACACAGCAGCGTTTATAAATTGCAAATTCATTGGAGCACAAGATACACTGTACGATCACAGGGGCAGGCATTATTTCAAGAACTGCTATATACAAGGTTCTGTAGATTTTATATTTGGAGATGGGTTGTCTCTCTACGAGAATTGTCATTTAAATGCCAAAACAAAAAGCTATGGGGCATTGACAGCCCAGAAGAGGGAAAGCATGCTAGAGGAAACTGGATTCTCTTTTGTGAATTGCAAGGTTACTGGATCTGGTGCTCTTTACTTGGGCAGGGCTTGGGGTACTTTCTCAAGGGTCGTATTTGCTTACACTTACATGGATAAGATCATCACATCAAAGGGATGGTATGACTGGGGGGATAAGAACAGGCATATGTACGTTCCTTCCTTCCTTTTTTTCTAAGCGAAATTCCTACTTCTTACGGCACATTTTACCTCCACCCCCACCCCCACCCCCAAAAAAAATGTTCCCATTAACTTTTACCACTGTTTCCGGAAAATACACAAGATGCTTTAGGTATATTATAAAATTTCATGAATTTACTGAGTAATTTATATTGCTCTGCAGGACAGTATTTTATGGGCAATTCAAGTGTTCGGGACCAGGGGCAAACCACGGTGGCAGGGTGAAATGGTCCAGGGAGCTCACTGAACAAGAAGCTAAACCGTTTGTCTCACTCAGCTTCATCGATGGTCATGAATGGCTTCTCAATATTTGATGGTTTCTTTATCACCTAGCTAAGCCATGGCAGTCATACTCCTCTATAATTCTTCAATCTATCTATAACATTTAAATTTTACACCAGAAAATGATTGTCCCCAACCACCATAATATGGATCAACTTTCTCATCCAGACATGCATAGTCGCTATGTAAAAGCTGCAACTCCAGCCACAACAAATGAAGAAAACATTTTTTAAAGAAAGTAGCTTTGCTTGCCGAAGTACAGCCATGCAAGAATACGATATATACCCGAAAGCTCAAGGTGATAGTTGCTTTAAAAAACTGTCGTAACTTTTCTCGAAAGCTCTTCCACTTTTTTCAAAAATAATTCAGTTTTTGATTGAGAAGTCTAAAAATTTATCACCGCCTAAGTCGGCCAAGCCAGCTGAAAGATAACATTCCACCAAACTACACGTAATTGAGGAATGATGCAACAAGCATTGTATTACAGAAGCTGGGAGCTATGTATAAAAGTTTAAAAGAGACATCGATTATTTTAAAAAAAAAAAAAAAAAATGTACAACTATAAACAAATGTACATGTTATACAATTCCACCATGACGGTCAGTTGCTTTCTTCACGTAATTGAACTGTACAATACCAACAGGCAGCCTGACAAAAAGAGAACTGGAAAAGTCAGCAAGGAAAAGAAACATACAAGCCTTTAAAGAGATGAAATCAAAAGGGCAACGGAGAAAGACATGCTAGCATTTATTACTGGCCAACAAATATAAGTCCACTAGTCATCATATATAGAGAACATCGAACATCAACATCTTGGGACATGTTCCAGATTATGGTCGAGAAGATACCTAACACTCCTAAAGAGAATGGACACTTCTTAAACAGGAATTATGGATATATGCAGCAAGGACAACCCACATCACCCGCAAAGACAAAAAGGGGGAAAATTGAAGGGAGAGAAATTACTGGGAACTAATCAAGACACACAGCGATGGCATGATCTATTTTTTGCAACCAAAATGCAAACAGTTGTCAACAACTACAGGAAAATACTAATGTTCATTTAGAAGAATGTCTCCCTATACCAGAGAAAACTGAAAAGTGAGCAGAGGCCACGCACCACACAGATCATCAAGACTGGAAGACAGTTACAGTCGCAATGTAACCATTCTTCATCACCTGTGACAAATAAGCAAGATCCTGGTAAAGTTATACAAAAACAAAACACAAAGAAAGAAAGAAACATAAAGTGTAAAGCAGAATCACAGCGGAGAATGGTCACTATAAAGTGGTATATAGACATTTATTTGAAACAACAAATTGACCTCAAAGGCAAGATTTTGGTAGCCATATACAAAGGTAGATCCAAACGGATTGCTTGTAGAGCCTTGCGTTTGGATAGCAGCTCGACCACAATCCCCTAGTATCTCCTGCAGAATCATTGCAACTTAACAATGAGTCAGCTTGAAATTGAGACCAGAAAAAGAAGATATCTGATGACAGTTATGGTTACACTAACCATTTGTTCATTAGTGCTAAAATATCATATAACAGGAGCATATTGTGAGTTAAAAATATGTGTGTGTGTTTGGGTGGGGGGTTTCTAGAACAAGGGGGAGTAACAATTATTCAGAAACAATCAGTAAGAACTCCCAACTTGATAACCTCAAAGGAATACCAATGAATAAATAGAATAGATACATATGAAACAGGAAAGGAAGAATCCACCTTAACTTGTTCCCACTTTGTGCTGGCTGTTATAGTGCCTTTAGAGGAGTTTACATCCTGATGATATGACCCAACAACTGCAGACAAATGATGCAAAAAGTATTAAAACGAATATCCAACTTTTTTACATTGATATAATCAAGAGGGATTTAGTCTTGAAAGAATCAACTCACAATCAGAACAATGGATAACAAAATTGCACTTCATATATGAATTGAAATCAGCATGCCCAGGATAGTTGGTGTGCAAGACAAACTTCTTGATCTTATGTGTCTGCAAAATAAGCACAATAATCTGAGAACCAATATCGACTTCATAAGTGCTCATAAAAAACCCAGAGGATGATATACCTGCCCATCAAATAGTATATCTATGCCACGAGTAAAGTAGTTGTAGAAGTAATCACCACAAAGGGTTGTCCGCGGTCGGGGATCTGAAGCAGAATGAATCACCATTTGATCGACCTGTAAAGAGGACGAAGTCAATCTCTACCAAAGATCTAGCATGTAGAAGCCTGACAAAAACGCACAAGAAGTTGTGTATGCCCATTTCTGTTGGACAGTAAAGAAAAAATAACACCACCTGCTTCTGATGGATTCCGCATGGTCGACCTAATTCGGTCCAAACATCCTGCATAAAGACATGATAAGATAAGATTGCATGGTTGACTCAGTCTTCAAAACGTGTATAATAAAGGAATAGGACAAAATGCAGTCCACAGAAAAGCATACACCAGACTGCCACACAACATATAAGCACAACTAGATCCAAGCGTTCTAAAACCAAAAGTGGAACTGCTAAAAGAACCAAGTCAACACTAAGTTCAATATATGACCTAAAATAGGTTTTAAGCCCCTTCTAACTTCAGGAAAAGTCGAACTTCTGAGTTGCAGCTGAACTTCATTTTTCAGTAATAGGGATATGATAATTAGATGGAATCTAGACTGAAGAGAGTATTCATGTGAACACCATTAGAGTTTCCGCAACATCAAGTAAAAAATAATTCAACGGAAGAAAGAGATAATTTACATTTTACACAACTGTAACAATTAATTAACCCAAAACAATCTAGAAAAGAGGAGTTACCTGTGGTGATGCACCAAAGGGGATGTGTTGGCCACCAATGCTAAACCATAATTCTTCCCCCAGCTAAAGAAAATAGAAACAAACATAATCATCTGTAAATCAACTGAATTGCATGCCGGAGCAACTTCAATTGGCAAACGTAATAGATGTTACTTGACACATCTTTTCTGATCTAAACTACTGTGCACAAAGATACAAGAACTCTGGTCTCTTTTATCTTCGAAATTGGAAAATACAATTAAACTATTCATTAGATTCAGCATTACGGAGCACGAAAAAAAAATCTAATAACAAAATCAAACTAGATTTCATACCTTATCTGTTTTAAAAGAAAGGAGAAGGGGTAGACGGTAGACACTGCTGTTTTACGAATTCTAACCTCAAAAATAATAGGCATTGCAAGTGGAGAAAGAACTATTAAATGGAACAGCACCAGATTTAGTCTACTTTAATTCCATGTCCCTTCCTTCACAACTTGATATAGCACTAAGATGAAAACAAAAGCACCATCAAGTTGATGCAATACTACAATTTTCTTGCTCGCAAGTTTGAATTCTCCGATGATTGATTTATAACAGAGATAGAAACACATATCAGCCATAACTGCAAAATCCCAGAGGTCAACTTCCTTTTGCAATGGCTATATAATTGGAAAAGCAACACGAAATCATGAAGAAGCTAACCTAACGGTTCTCCCGGCAAAGAGAGCTGTGAATGGCCAAATTTAAGCAAATTAAATCTAAGCTAAAACTAACAAAATTTCAGACGTGAACTTCCTTAAAGATCAGCTCTATGTAATGAAAAGCACCACAAGTGCGCAAAGTGGACATCCTAAAGAGTTTTCTCCGTGAAAAACAACTAAGAGATGCAGCTTGAAGTGGGAGGGACTAGACTTATTATTAATACATTATTCAATAAGAATCACATATAACATTAGAAGAGACTGCACAAAAACTTCAGTGCGGACATGAGAAGGAAACGAAATAAACCTTTACATGCACTTCTTCCATGTAGAGGCTGCCAGCAGGCAGAGGAGGAGTACAGGCCTTGTCCATCATAGATCCAACGCCAACTTTACTGCCAGTAGAACTATCATATATTGATACACGGCAAGTAACTGGAGTCGTGCCATCTGGAAACTCCAGAGGTAGTTCCGCTTTTGAAGTGGAAAGAGAAAGAGAAAGAAAGGAGGAAAAAAATTTATAAGCGTGGATAATTTGAGTCTGCACAAGTGTGAACAACAAAAATAACCAGTAATACCTTCTCCATCACGACAGCAATCTGTATACTGGGAGGGAATTGGAAAAGCAAACGACAAACCCTGCAAAGTTGCAAACCATCAGAAGCCTCAACACAGAACTAAATGATGGATAAAAGAATTGGAAATAAATGTGTCATTCCATAGACATCAGCCACACATACTGGATAAAATAGAGTGTAAACTCCTCTATCCTTGTCATATGTTCCTGGATAGGTTGGCCCAAAAAGAGTATAGACTGCTACGAAAGTGGCTAAAGTGGACGGCCCGCTGATAGTAACAAAATCAAAAGACAATTTAATGAACAGAAATGTAGGGGTGTAAACACAGCATTATGAAAACCAATCCATTTAAAGCGTTGTGAAAGTAACACTACGAAAACTTACCCTATTACAGAGGTTGCATAGCGCATCTGGAGCCGTTTTACATCAAAAATTTCAATAAGGCGCAGCCTCTGAAACAGGTAAAGACTTGGAGAGTCAGAGATGCTTGAAATATGTTCCCAGGTGTCCTCTATGCAAGCAGAAAGCTCTTGAGTAGTGGTGGCAAAATAGATTTTAAAAAACAATTATCCATCCCTGCTATCCATTAAAAAATGGGTTGGATAATAAACTTTTTAAAAATGGGTCAAATATGGATAAGATCCATATTATCCACTTAAAAAATGGATACTTAATGGATAACAGGGTTTAGCTTTATAATTGCAAAGACTCAAATTGGAGGTTCCTCAAACTTGGGAGAGTAGAAATTCTCCTAAAAATGATCATATTCAAGAAGCCATGGACAATATGGGTATCCATATCATCCGCCGGTTAACCCATTTTCTATTCATATTAAATATGGGCAGCGGGGATAGTTTATCCATTTTTGCATTACCGAGTTTTCGACCCACTCATATCCAACTCGACACGCCCATTTGCCATCCCTACGCTTGAGCTAACTTAAAAATGAAATAAATCTTCTAAAAAAGAAACTTACAAAAAAATAAAGCCATGAGAAAGAAAATTATAGAAGTAAATTTAAAAGAGAATCACATCATTTGGAAATATTTCAAGAAAGGTATTTCCATAACTCATTCTATCCCAAACCACGTTACGCTTCGGAAATGTACATGATCAAGAAAACTAGAGAACAAAGATGTCATCACGTTATTGATACTTTTCCAAGTATATTCTTTATTTTGGGGTAAATCAAAGGAATTTCATTAATGCGAACCGAGATGATGCAAAGTGCTAATGGGGAAAAGGTGTTTAGCGTTGAGCTTCCAGAAAACTATCCAACGATCTAGAAATAACTTTATCTCTTATTTACACCAAAATATAGGTAAAAACAAGGTAATATTGATCTTCGACATCCCTCGTTCAACCCCTTCAGGCATCGTCCTACTTTTCTCTCTCCGTATCATACAAAAATTGCATCACACTGCATTTTTTTCTTTTGATAACCGATAAATCCCATAGGGCTAGTGACGCGCGGTTAG